TGATTTGGCCTTGCATTTCAGATTTCTCGCCCAAATGACGCATTTGGCCTCAATGTAAATGTAATATAACATACCAAAAATGTTTTCAAATTTTCAATCTCATACATACATTCTCAGTTTCAGTCTCAAATAAAGCTACATTTGGAGCCCTAACCGCCAAAATAACGTAAGCGATATTTTTTAAAATGTTTATTTTTGATGCAGAAATATTCCTAGGGCATCTAGATGTATTTCTGCATCAAAAAGAAAATTTTGAAAAATGGCGCTTAGGCTCGATTTAATATTTTAATCTATTTATTTTTTGTTTTGCTTTTATTTGGCATTTGAGTTGCTCTGAAAACTTAAATTTTATAAAGTAGATAAACTTCAAAAAAATAAATCTTGGCCGACGAAATGAGCGAGCGGTTTTACCCATGACACAAATATTTAAAGGTAGTTTCACTTCTTATTCACCATTGCTCCCATTTAACGTAAACTGTGCTTTTGACATTTTCTTTTAAATTGAAGCTACCATATTCTTTGAGGAAATTAAAAAAGGGCTTTTACTTCAAAATAATTATTAAAAAAAATATATTTTGACCATCATTTTATAGCGAGCTTTTAGTGATTTATTTGTAAAATTAAATATAAAACGGAAGGCAAGTAAAATTCTCGTATTACATTGTGTAATGCACATAGAGAATCTATTTTCATCATTATTTAGTACGATTAGCTGCATATTCCGGGATAGCCACGTGCATGGTAACCTCCCTTCACCCGGCGGTCCTTACCACTTCCCTGCCGAATCTCCCTTACTTTAACAAAGACGTGGCCGCCTTATGTAAGTAGGAATTTAGAATGTATATTTGATATCAGACATACTTCTGAGCCACTTTACAAAGTAAGCTACGTGTAATGCAGAGCAATCGCTCGGAGTAGTTCGGCGCTTGGAAATAACTTCGGCTGCACGTTATTTTACAACTGACAACGTTGGTGTGGCGTCGTCGGAGGTGTTCATTTTCTGCTTTACTAGTAGATGACATTGGCCATGATGACAATTTTGGTGCCAAAATCTGAAAGAAAACGTGGCTTACCTCGTAAGGTTTTTGCCTATTTTCCCAGTAAGGCAGTGACAACCCATCCAACAAAGAAACGTTCATTTTGCCGACAGTGCAGTTTAGTTCAATTTTCCGTATCCGAAAACGCATACAAAAAACTCCTACAGTTATAATTAACTTTCGTATCCGGAAAACGTTCGAAAAAGATGATGTCATTTGAAAGCAATAATTGTATTTTATTTGCTCAAGCTAAACATTTGAAAGCATGCATGCGTAGTCGGCAGTGACTGAGCGAGCAGAGGAGTGTGCCGGTATTTGTTAGCTTCCAGAAGGTGCCGGGTTCGAATTCCGTCAGGCGCTTCCTAATTTTATTTCTTTTGAACAATGAAAAAGTATCTGTGAAATACAGAAGGAAAGCGTATTGAACGAAAAATTCAATCAGACAAATTTCAGAAAAAACAGTCCAAATCGTATCCTTTTCACCACCATTTTCGGTACTTTTCTGTACATACGTTTCTGCCGCACACTTTGGTAGGAAAACGGAACATTAAAGTATCCGAAAATGGGATCGGTAAACGGACAAAAATCCGGTTTTCATCGACTTTTTTCCCGTTTTCGGATCGGTTTTCGGATTTTTTGCTGGCTGGGCACACATACACACATATATGGTACATGTTTTTCTGTACAAATGCACTAATCGCGCGCTGTGATGTTGATTAAAACTCAAAATTTGAAAACATATTTACATGTATGGCTGTAGCTGAGTGTTCAAAGACGCTTGATACAATTGGTTGCTGCCAAGAGGGTCCGGGTTCAATTATCATCAGACGGAACATAAAATTAATATATTTTCCCTTAATTACGAAAATCTGTGCACTTCACAACTACATATTTTATAACGTACATACTTAAATTTAAAACGAGTTGGGTTGGTGCTCTTTTGTTTTATATGCGTATTTTTTTAAATTTGGCACGTTTTTTTAATTCTAAAATTTTTTCCCCTCAGTGGTTATAAACTATAACAGGGAGCTCCAAGAATTAGGAAATTTGTTTACCTCCCTCTTCTTGACTACAGCATGCGTTATCACAAATAAGCTTATGCTTCCATGGTGCTTTCATTGACGGTTAGCTACTTTTTTACCATTCCTTTGTTCATATTTCCACTAAGGAGGATCCAAATTTAAGCAACGTCCTAATATCTTAATTTCCAGATATAATAATATCTCACGTAACACTGCAGATAATGCCAAATTTTTTGCGGTAAGGTATTTTAAACCAATACAGCTCCGCTAATACGATGTAATAAGTAAATTTACCTTGCGTGTTGTTATATTTTAATGCATAAAAAATCCTTTAAAAAATATTATAATTTCCAAAACAATAATTTATTGAGGTATGTAGGTGGCAGTGCTACTTGAGGAATTTACGAAAAGTATAAACGTCATAAGCACAGTTTATGTAAAAAAATATCAAAGTGAAACTAACTTCTTTTTTTGTATCATGGTTTTACCTTTACATACTTGTATCATGGGATCGAACTATATTTTAAATGAAAATTATGATAAATAAATAAATAAACATAAGTTGCAAACAACATAATTTTGAATTTTGTTACTATTTTATTGGTCGCTGCTGTTCATACAAGTGCACTTGGTTTCGCCTCATTAATAAGCAGCATATTGAAATAGACAATACCACTATTGTTTGTTATCACTTACAACCAACAGACAACAGATCTTGGTGTCTCTAATAATAAAAATAATAGATTGGCGCTTACACATACGTTAGTGTTATGGTCGAACTTGCGTGCGCCTTGATGTTGTCACACAAAGGGGAGGGACCTACTGTGTTACGCCGACTCCGAAGGACGATAATATTTTTATGAGGAGCTGTTTTTCATGGCAGAAATGCACTCGGAGGTTTGCCATTGCCTGCCGAGCGGCGACCGCTGTTAAGAAAAAGCCTGTTTTCTATATTTTTCCTTGCCATGTTGCTTTGACCAGGGCATGAACCCAGGCCCTGGGGAGTGGAAGCGCGCACTGCTTACCACTACACCACAGCGGTCTTGAAAAAGCTTCTCATAAAATCAGTCTGTTTTCGTATTTTTTTGTACTTCTCTGTTTTCTTTAGTTGAATTGTTTGTTGAGAAGAAAACATTGCACCGTTATTCAAATAAGCAGATCATTTGAAAGGGGCTGTAATTCCACTTCTACAACTGCTTTTGCATACTTAAATACATGCATATGTACATATCGATGGTCCTCTGCAATAACGACACAATTCAAAAATAAAAACCATTACTACTGCTAAGTGGCTCTTGTATCGAATCCTTGTCAAATCCATTGAAGTAAGTCGTAAGACATGGATTCGACAAGGATTAGAGACATAAGCCACTTAACAGTAGTAAAGGTTTTTATTTTTTGAATTTTGAGTTGTTTCGTTATTGCACAGGACAGGATATATAGAAGTTTGTTAGAAAAAATGCACTTTCATTTTATTAACAATAATAATAATNCACTACACCACAGCGGTCTTGAAAAAGCTTCTCATAAAATCAGTCTGTTTCCGTATTTTTTTGTACTTCTCTGTTTTCTTTAGTTGAATTGTTTGTTGAGAAGAAAACATTGCACCGTTATTCAAATAAGCAGATCATTTGAAAGGGGCTGTAATTCCACTTCTACAACTGCTTTTGCATACTTAAATACATGCATATGTACATATCGATGGTCCTCTGCAATAACGACACAATTCAAAAATAAAAACCATTACTACTGCTAAGTGGCTCTTGTATCGAATCCTTGTCAAATCCATTGAAGTAAGTCGTAAGACATGGATTCGACAAGGATTAGAGACATAAGCCACTTAACAGTAGTAAAGGTTTTTATTTTTTGAATTTTGAGTTGTTTCGTTATTGCACAGGACAGGATATATAGAAGTTTGTTAGAAAAAATGCACTTTCATTTTATTAACAATAATAATAATAATAGATTGGCGCTTACACATATGTTAGTGCTTGCCCGAGCTTCTCCTCCGACTTGTGGCGTGCGCCTTGATGTTGTCACACAAAGCGGAGGGACCTACAGTTTTACGCCGACTCCGAACGGCGATTGTATTTTTATGAGAAGCTATTTTTCATGGCAGAAATACACTCGGAGGTTTGCCATTGCCTGCCTTTACCAAAATACAGTAGTTGCGGTTTCCCTGCCCAAGTCGTTGGCATTGGTAATGATGCAATTGGTATTCTCGAAGTCTTGTACGTAGCACGGATTGTATTAAATACAAAAATACTATTCCAAATTTGCAAGAGTACGAGGGCCCCCCCATTGCAAAATGGTAGCATGCATATGTATCATGCATTTATCTTGCTTTTATTTGAAAGTTACGCAATCCATGCTACGGGCAACGGCTTTGCAAAATTTCAAGAATACCCCTATTATTTTTTTATACAACACAAACTCGGCTATTCCGAGTTCAGATAGGTCGGTTAAAAATACACGACCTGAAGGTTAGTCTTGTTAAGTTAAAAACTGCTCTATTGTGAATTATTAATGGGAAAGTGGAGAGGGAAATATTCGTTTTGCTTATATACATGATTTATATTTTAAATAAGTATATATATTACGCAAATACCTCGCATAATTACTCATTTACATTTGTTTTTGTATCTAAATCCCGTTAAACTAATGAAATGTTTCTTGCCAGATACCAACAGGGTTGCTTAGGTAGCTAAAATGAAATTTTACCCGACTTGAGCGTTCTTTTGTCGCTCGTTTACAAAAAAAATGCACCTACTGTTATTACTTAAATCAATAAGACAATTTATTCAATTTTCTTTTTTTTAAGAATTGGGAATTAATCAACACTGCTGTTTTAACTGGCCGTCAGGTGGCTCAAGCTATGAANTGCACCTACTGTTATTACTTAAATCAATAAGACAATTTATTCAATTTTCTTTTTTTTAAGAATTGGGAGTTAATCAACACTGCTGTTTTAACTGGCCGTCAGGTGGCTCAAGCTATGAAAGTTTTTATAGTATCACAAGCTGGTAAAGTAGCTGATGTTACGTTACAAAGTTCCTGCTACGCTGAGGATGAAAGTGTTATCAAGGTAATTGTTTTAACTTAACAAGAGACGACATTAAATAGTTCTGTAGTTACTGGATTCAGCCTGGGGATGAAGCAGTAGTAACTTCTTTTAGAATGCTTTTTAAGAAAGCTTTGCAAACAAATGACCACATTTTGATTTTTTTTTAATATTCGTCAAGTATTTCGAGCTAATTTTTTTTGTTATTTTTCATAAAAATACCGCCCAAGCTTTAACCAAAAACATATAAATCACAGCTTCAAACTTTATACAAAATTTAGGAAAACTCAACAAAATTTCATCAAAATTAAAATTTTTTAATCTTAATCTTTATAAAATGTTTGGGTATGCAGGATTATAGCCCATACAATTTTAGTCTAACGAAGTGTAAGTTTCAAACGGCTTAAAATTGCGTTGATTTTTGAGAGTTTGTTTTCGGACAGAACTTTTGCGTTTTTTTTTTATAAAACAAATGCAATTTACAAAAACTCGCGTCGATTTTGTTTTTTTAATTTTGGTGCTAACGCATCTCTTAAGAAATTCATGCTTATATGGAAAAAAGTGCAAAAAGCCGTCACCAAAAAAAATCTCAAAAATCAACGGGATTTTGCAACCGGTTTGGAATTTTGCTCTGAAGCTTCACAAGCTTGTAGAGGGTGTAAAATAATAACTGTCGCACCGGTTTTGTTTGAAAAATAAGGGGGTCCTTTATAGATTTTGCGAATAAGTACATATTTTATTGTTAATTTTCCACAAATTTTACTTTAATTTTATTAATTAGTTTTTAAATTTTAACCTTTATTTAGGTTTATCAGCGGTAAACACTTTGAGAAAAAAGCGCAAGCGGCACGCAAGTCTTCGTCAGTTAATTTGTTCCATATGTTCTGAAACCATAGGCCAATTTCCTCCATTTTGAGTCCTTTATACTCCCTTTTTTGGCCTCATACCCAGAAATCGAATATACTCGGAACTGGTGACTAGGACGGCCATTCATTCGACCAACCCTATGCCTACAGTTTTTAATTTTTTTGTTTTTTTTATACATATGGGCAAATCTAAAAAACAGGTAACCTTGGTGTTGTTTAGCTTTATTTTCACTGTTGGAAACTATATCAAGCTGGTTGCTTTTGGATATAATTCATTGACGTATACTTGAAGCCTCAAAAAAAATTTGGATCAATTTGCTGCATAACTTTTGAATTATAGGTGTTTAAATAAAAAATAATAATGAAAACAAGTGAATTTTTTATGTAATATTTAAGAGGTGAAAAATTAATTATGTCATAACTTTTGAAGCACACCATATACTGATTTGAAATTTTATGTGGAATTAGCACTTATGTGTACACTTCACACGTAGTAGGTAAGAAAAGTGTGCCTTAAAAAATAACGAAGTGGCAAGTAACTCAAAGTCTGTAATTCCACATTTCACAATTTTCAAAATTTTCGGTTTATCGCGTATAGTTTTTGAAGTATTTAAGTTTAAGAACTTTTTAAGTATGTATTGTATACTACAAACAATTACGAATAATTTGATACCTTAGCAAGAGCTGTGCTTTCAGAATAAACCAACTTTTAAAGATAAAATATTTTGCGACCTTGAGCGTAATTTTTATTCCAAAAACACTTTAATTAAAGGCACATTTGGAAAATACGTCGAAAGGATCTAAATCTTTCTATAACTGATAGTCCTTATAAAATTACATATACCTGTAAAACGCTTCAAAAAATTTGTCTCTAGAAGTGTAAAAAAACCCTGATTTACTACTTTTAATGATGCTCCTTCTTTTAGTCAGAATATTTCGAGAGTGGTATCAAAGCAACTTTTTTTCGACAAATGTTCTGATAGTTGCTCTTACTTAATTGGAGCCTTCTGAATTCAATGGCGTCCTAAGTTTTACCCTATTGGCTCCACTTTTCGAGATGGCGGTACTTGAAACTTTGCTTAAATTTTAACTATTTTATAAAAAAAGTCCCTGGGTTTTGAAGATATTTTACTAAAATTTTGCACATAACCGTTTTTTAATATTACCTTAAATATTCCATAAAATCATCGAAATCGGTTCAGTAAAACATATAGCTCCCATACAACTGATTGAACAGAGACGTTGTTTTTCGTTATACCTCCTTCAATTAAACAGGTTAAAATTTAGTATAGGTTCAATTTAACATATAGCACGCATACAATTTATTACTCAGATATGAAGTTAGAGTTATTGCGCAAAAACACATATCTGAGTAATCAGTTGTATTGGAGCTATATGTTAATGTTAACCTATTTCGATAATTTTAAGGAATAATTAAGGTAATATTAAAAAACTATTATGTGCAAAATTTTAGTAAAATAACTTCAAAACTGAGGGAGTTATTTATAAAATAGTTAAAATTTAATCAAATTTTCAAGTACCGTTATCTCGAAAATCGGAGTCAATCTGGTAAAACAGGGCATGCCATTGAATTTAGAACATCCCAAATAAGTGAGTTCAACTTTCAAAATCTTTCCTCAAAGTTTACAACTTGAACAGCGTAATTTCAACCCAGCTTATTCTTTTGTTTTCTATTTCATGCTTATTCCTCGTCTAACTTTTGAAGCACTTGATGAAAATGAATTACACTTATATTAATCGATTTATTAAGAGATTACGAATAAAACGATATATAAAACATAGGTGTGCTCACAAATTTAAAAATTAAAATTTTTTTTTTGAAAGTGTACCTATTTTTTAGATTTGCCCATATACTTAAAGATTAAAATTTTAAAACTATTTAATACAATTGAAGTAAATTATGAACAAAATTAACAATCAAATACTTTTTTCGCAACATCTATTAAGGACTCTTTTATTTTTCAAAAAACGACAGTTATTATTTTACACCCTGTAAATGTGTACAATACAGTTACCCGCAAGAGAATTTTGATTCGAGTTTTTTCACAACATTGACAATGCTTTTTGTGTTATAAAAAAAAATAGTTAAACCATGTAAATCCAAGCTTAAAACTTGTGAAAAATTAAAAAAAAAAAGCTGCAAAATTTCAATTTATAATCATAAGTTAAAAAACCGTGGGTTTCTAAAAACTTCCGATGATTCATGATGATTTTTTTAAACCGTCTTGCTCATTTTCTCAAAAATAACACAAGATCGAGTTTTTTTAATTTGGAGAAAATGAGCAAACGACCACAAATTATCAAAAATTATCGGTTGTTTTTAGTAACTTAAGACTTTGACTTAATGGTACTAAAACTAAATAGGTTACGAAATTTAATACCCGCGATGTTTTTAAAAGCTCTGATTACAAAACTTTAAGTTTTGAGGATGATTTGTAGTTTCTTTTTTCAATTTTTCCCAAAGTTTTAACCTACAAAGTAAAAAAAAATAACTATTTTCTTCGAAACAAATTTAAAACAAGTAAGAAAGTCTAAGTTCGGGCAGAGCCGAACATTAAATACCCGGCGCAAGTATTAAATATATGTTTTCCACCTTTCCGAAAGCTACCGCTACATGGTAAGCCGGGGTGTATCAATTTTGAGTAAATTATAATAATAATAGATTGGCGCTTACACATATGTTAGTGTTTGGCCGAGCTTCTCCTCCGACTTGTGGCGTGCGCCTTGACGTTGTCACACAAAGCGGAGGGACCTACAGTTTTACGCCGACTCCGAACGGCAATAGTATTTTTATGAGAAGCTGTTTTTCATGGCAGAAATACACTCGGAGGTTTGCCATTGCCTGCCGAGGGAAGACCGCTGTTAAGAAAAAACCTTTTTTTCTATATTTTTTGCGATGTTGCTTTGACCAGGGCTTGAACCCAGGTGCTGATGAGTGAAAGCGCGCACTGCTTGCCACTACACCACAGCGGCCTTGAGTAAATTAGCGTCCTTTAAATTACGAAATATTGAAGTTTCGAGCATTTCTGAAATTTACCGTTATATGAAAGCGGCCTAAATTTTAGTCCGATTTAAATAATTTTTAACATGTTGCTTATATGTGGCAAGCACAATAACCATAGTTTGGAACAAATTGGTAGAACGATTACCGAGATACATATATGTGATCATAAGTTGGCGGTGCCACGCTCATTGTCCAAAATTTTATCATAAACATATTTATTGGTAAATAATTGTTGCAAGCTTTTATCTTGAATAAATTAGCTTTAATATTTACCGATTTATCGAAGATTTTGTATTTCTCCAAATTACCGTTATATGGGATGTGGGCGTGGTTATTGTCCCATTTTCCAAAAATTTTAAATATTCTTGTTTTTCGTCTAAAAATTATTGTAAATATCAATTTTGAGTGAATAATATTCAGTAGTTACTAAAATATCGCAGTTTTCGTATTTCTGAAAATTACCGTTATATGGGAGGTAGGCGCGGTTATTGACCGATTTTGCCCATTTTAAATACCGTCCGTCCTACGCCCGAAAGAAGTGCACGTACAAAGTTTCGTTAAGTTATCTCAATTTTTACTCGAGTTATCGTGTGCACAGACGGACGGACGGACGGACGGACAGACAGTCACCGCTTAATCGATTTCTCTTTTCATTCTGATCATTTATGTATACATTTGTCTATATCTATCTCGATTCGTTTTGCCTGTTACAAACAACCGTTATGTGAACAAAGTTATAATACCCTTGTGCACAAGTGCGCTCGGGTATAAAAATTTACCATGAAAAACATTACCAATGTTGTGAGAAAACGAATGAAAATACTTTTGCGAATAACTATGTATTTCTAGATATGGACTATGGACTAAAATTAGCTATTTTTTTTAATATTTACAAAAAAACTTGCCATGAAAAACATCTTCAATATGGCGAAAAATCAAATCAAAATACTTTTGTGAGTAACTGTATGAAACTCATATTAAATTACTATGAAGTTTTTTTTAATTTTTTAATGTTGTACAAATGTTAAACTTCAATTAATCAGACTTTTGTTAGAGAATGAACTATGTTGTAAAATTTAAAAAATTAAAATATCACCACTTGTTAATACGACTGATAGCCTTATTTTTTGACA